AATCAATATGGAAATAAAGATCAACATCCACTATATCATATAAAATTCTTAATATAATTTTGTTACTAAATATTCTAAAAGGCTAATAGATTTTTTGTAGAGACTGAATTACAGTTTTATAGAGCACGTATTACATAAACCAAGCATAAAAATATGAAATATTTTTAAATATAATATACTACTTCAGTCTGAAATGGAAAACTGAAGATTTTAATTGAACAACAACCATTTTCATCGACATTAATTTTACCGTTATAATATTGAGCGATAGTACATTTGTTTTGTTTTCTGGAGATACAAACTTGTTAATGTGAGTAATTTTATTCAACTTAAAAATTAGGACACCATTATGTATTTCATGAAAAGTTAATTATAAATATTGATTTGTAGCGTAGGTTTTGTTTGTATGCATATAAGTATGTTGGTATTACTGCTATATCATTTAAATACATTTTTTACGATGATGCCTAGTTAAGTCATTATCCTTCAATTTTTCTCAATACACGTTGTTTGTTTGTTAACAAATTAAAGTTAAAATACTTGAAAATTGTTCTCGAACACGTTATAGTTATATCATGCTACAGGATGTGTCCACTTAAGAGGATGGTTCAATCAAATGTAGTTGCACGGAGCTTGTAGACGTCTAGTAAAGCTAGGTGCAAGTGTCCTTCACTCACATTCCGTACTAGATAAATTCAACCTTAAGGTATATATAATGTAAGTCCTACTTACTTAAGGTTTTATACCTTAAAAATTTTAATACGATCATAAACAAAATAAACACAAATTATATCTAATACTATTTCAATATCTCTATTATAATAACTGTGTATTGAGGTTTCATAACAGACCCAAAAAAAATATACATATGTATATTTAAAGCTTATTTTCAAACCAAGAACTCGTTTTATGACTCATGATTTGTAACTCATCACTTATTTAAAGACAGGCGACAAATTTTAGTTTAGTTTTTAAAATTATAAAGAAGTTAATACGTGTAGAGGAATGTAAACTTCTACGAAAAAGTATATGCATTATTATAGATAAAAGATTTACCTAGATTGTAGAGTCAAATAATCTTTTGATTTTTATTTATTTTTTCTTCAATAACTAATTCGTCACATCCTTATGAACTTAACAGCGCTACAAACGACTGCTATATTTACATGCATATATATACAATATAAATATAAAATGGGTGTAATAAAAGATTACTGACTACATAATTTCACCCATCTTTTGCTATCATATGTATCTGTGCTACGATATGTAATAGGTATGTATACAAAATTAGCACATTAGAATAAGAAGGTCTGTCATTAATAAACTTTCACAACCGTTTTTATTATTTTTATTTCTACGTTAACCTGTGATTAGTGCTTTTAGTATGATTATTTATTAAGTATAATGATAAGAAAAAATCGAAGAAAATCCATTTGGTTTCAAATGTTAATTACATTGGAAATAATAAAAAAAATTGTTCTTACAATATATTTTATTTTTTCATAATTTTAATAAAGGGAGACTGTTCATTTTCATTTCAATTTTTTAAACATAAAACTGAAAAGTAACTATTTAAACGAGAATGTGACCACAGTCGTCTATCGATGTCGTTCTAAACAGTTTCATGAAGATATTATTAAGTGGTCTTTGGAAAAAATATCTATGAATTGCAAAAACTTTCTATTGTAAGAGAAATAATAAAAAGCGAATACTATCATTATATAGAAATTAAATCCTATTTTATTACAATTGTTGGCATAATTATTTGCTTGCTCGGTATTTTTGTCATCGACTATTTAAAACTATTTAATCATGTTCATATATTTTTAACACGATTTTCACTCAGCAATAATTTTATTTAACGAAATAAGATTAAAAATATTATTATTTTCTCTTAGTGTACCGAATGAATGTTTGGAAATAATTGTAACTGTAAAAGCTTTGTACATTGTTATTGAAAATTATGTTAGGTAGTAAAAAAAACAACATAAATTATTTACCGTCACTCTTATTGATTATTCTTAACTTTCATGTGTCCAATATGAACTTTATTACGACAAAGACAACAATCGTGGCGGATATTTGATAGATATCGTGATCCTGTCCGGTCTAAATTGTTTTAGAGCAAATATATATGTACATATTGAATTATGCTCACAGCAATATAGATACAGATTAATTATATACAAGTTTAGTATTGAAAATTGATATTCTTGTTTCAATTTTAAACCAAAATAAACAAATTGGTCTGTATTTAGTGAGTATTTTTTTTATAAACATTTAATATTTAAACTAACTTTCATATGAATTGATTTAGAAATAGAAATGTTTTTTTATTAATTATATTTATAATACTTCCTGTGTAGGGCATGTGCTATAGGTGATATCGGAACTCCACCTGCGCGAATTTAAATAACCGGTACAAATGTTACTACTTAGTGGACACAGGCGGTTTGAAACGTTCTCTAGAATATATTTTATCACTTACTTGTTTTATTCAAGACAAATAGTTATTACACTGATTTCATCATTCAGTTATCTTTTAGTTTTTGTATGTTAAAATGTAAATTATATAAAACAAATCAACTTAAATATGTTTAATACAATCAGTAAAGCATTTGAAATTAGTAAGTAGACATATCTACCTATTAGAAATCCTTAATAATAGTTACTTAGATAATATTATAAGGGAAGAAGGCTTTCAAACGGTGATTTTTATGACTTCAAATAATTTTTAATTAATAACTTCATCATAAAATTATTTTAGCAAAAATAATGAACACTTCTACTTCATGTTAACCAAATATACTTTAGTATGTTTCGTTTAATCATTATTTCTTTTTTCTTTTCTTTTAAAGTATAATATAATATAGTACAATCACATACATAACAACTTTTATAATTTTTCTAACAATCTTTTACTTCTATATATATATTATGTATGTATTATTAAAAGTATAAGTTGTAATAAAAGAATTCGGTGAACCAATATAATAAAATTTTCTTATGTCAACTAAACGAAATCATGATGTAAATAAAAACCAAATGGAGCAAACTGTACCTAAGTTACCCTTAACAATACGAAAATTCATACAGAATCCTAATATTTACATGTTTCACGTTAGGTTTCTTTGCTCCAAACTAAATAAATTTGTTTAAAAAACAAAGGAGCTAAACCAAGAATGGATTAGAATATAGGACATAGGTTATGTAATTTCCGTTTTCATAGCTACCTTAATACCCATCTTGAGTGAAAACTCTATACAATGAACTAATCAGGAAAAAAACTTTGGTTCTAAATAAATAGTTCTTGTGTGAAAAATACACAATTCCTAATAGAAATACTTTAGATAATAATATTAATAAATAATAGAGTTCAATGATCTGCCGTCAACTTTTTAAATAGAGTATGTCTCTAGGTATACGATAATTTGTAATAGTAATTGATGCTAATATTTGTTACTAACTCTAAAAATCTCTAAATATGAGGAATTAATTTAATTTGATAAAATTATACTCTTCATTATTTATACTTAACTAATAAAAATCTCTTTTCATGAAAGAGTTTTTAAGAAAACTTTTGATTTTTTCAAAGGAATTCAACATAGTAGATATCTTAAAAATATATGACCCAAACTATAGTTCCCGGAAATGAGAAAATTAAAGAACCTATGATTTATTTAATCATGAGAATACTTTCATACACAGAGTAAGAGTTAAGAGTCAGACGCATTCGCATATAATTTTTTTGTATTGGATGTTTTAGTGTCAAAATGTAGGCCGCCGAGGTGCTAGGACCCGTCCTGCTATTGGACGCTACAAGATGAGGGCGGGCACCAGAAGAGGGTGGATACAATATTTGAATCTCTATACCTGACTTATATTTTAGTGAACATCCCAAAGTTATAACAAAATAAAGATATAATAACTCAATGCAATACTCAAGTCCTCCAACTCGCAGAGCATACGTCAGTCGCAGGATGCAAAGAATAGAGTAGAATGAAAAATCAGAAAGTAAATCGCAACTTGCTTTATGTTAACAATAAATTTTAAAAGTTGAAATATTTGAAGACAAGAGGGCTGGTGTATAAAGTGAATAAATAAAATTAAAGACTTCTGCAGTAGTTTTATTGTTGAATTCAAACCGCGTTTAACCAAGCAAGAGTTGAAAATTTAGGCAAAGCGAGTGAAGGGGCCCGGGGGAGGGGCGCCCGCACACATCCGCTCGCTCGCGGATTGCCCAATTGTCGACAGTTAAAATACAGACGTTTATTACGACATAGAACACGACGACTAAACCGAAATTATTAATATAGTTTTTTTATCAGAAGAGATCCAAAAATAACTTGCGGAAATGTCTAAAGCAGAAAATTCAGTGATCTCGCAGCCGAAATAATAAACAGTCTGCGTAATCCCTGACGTCACTGCAGACATAACTACTTGGAGTTCTAGCCGTCGACAAAGACTCTTACAAGACGATTGTATGCCAAACATATAGGAGAGAGAAAAAGACTGACTAATACAAATAAAAAGCCAAGTCGATTTCTCCCACCGACACGACTGACATTGTAATCTTCAGGCTTCGATGTAAATCTTCGGTTCTTCAAGTATATTTTATTAATGCTGAAAACAGAGTATTAAAAAGTAAAGCGCCTTCCCGCCAATACTGAACAACGTTAAAGTACGAGGCACGTGACGATACAAGAGGAAAAAATAACTAATTAACCAATAGTACTGCGAAATAAAATGCGCAGTTAAACCGATTTGTCAAAATATTATGAATAGTGTTAAGTGAACCAGTTTTATAATTTAGGTTAAATCTTTGAAAAGATATTCGCGAGCGAACACAAAATGATCAAATAAAAATTTTCTAAATTCGGAACGACACATTAAAACAAAGCGGAAGTTCACTAAATATTTTATCCGATTATTTGAAAACTTTCTTTTAAGGCGAATATAGAAAAGTATAACTTCAGACTAGTTGAATAAAACTTCCGTTAAACTATTGAAGGCGCGACTAAAGAGGACGACGACCGGACAGCGAATGGCAGCGCGTAATAGAGTGCGATGGCGTAGTGACGAGCGCTAAAGGGAGGGAAGGGAGGGGGCTGTGGGGACGGTGGGGGGCTCTGGTGGAAGGGGGGAGGACGGGGCAGCGGGGTAGAGGGGAGGCTCGGCCTGCGCGCGCAGAGAAAGGACGCAAGTGGTGATGTAATCGCGATCGATGCACTCAGCTCCAAAAGACGCACCTAACGAACTCCTCGGTAGATCGGAAACTATCAAAGACTAACTAACCATTGTTCCTAAAACGACGATCTCTTCATGTGACGTATGTACGTGACGGTACAAATGACGAGTGAAATGACTATGATAATCAGAAAATGCAGGTCAGCGACCCTCCCAGTGACACGTGCGTGATCTAAATTCACTTGTAGAGCGACGTCGTACTCACATTAAAATATATATTAGGTCCTGAGTAGTGATCGCCTTAACGCGTTAGATCTAAATGGAATCGCTGCTTTGATATCACGAGCATTCCGCATTCATCAAAGAATAGAGAATAGCGAATGGCTCTCGGCCGTTATCGTGTATAGTCGTGAGTTGTCGGTCTCTATGTAGGTCACACGTGTAAACGTTATCCCCTCTACACCGGCCTTGGCTTACTTCGAGCCAAATGGCACCTCCCCTTCGCCGACCGCTTCGTACACTTCGTCTACATGTGATGTGATTAAATTATGGGAACCGCGATTATTATTCTATATTAAACTAAAGTATTCCAAATTATTCATACAATTCTAAAGTCTTTTCATGCGGAAATATTTTTTTCAATAGGAATTCATTAACTAAATATCTTTGATAAGGAATCTGTTTTGGTCAGAAAACTCTAAGAGCTAATGTATGCATGTTTAATTTCCCAATCACTACTACGACAAACACGTGCTGTATTGACGCGAGCGTCAACCGTAATTTTTAAAAATACCGTTACATTACAATGACGACGTTGAATGATTCAAACTGGTGTCACGTTATCAAATGAGCGAGTATAGCTAAGTACCTAGTTCCCGCTAACTACCGGCTATCTAACTCGAACGAATCTACAAGGCCGTCCAGCCCGCCGCGGCCCCATCGAATAAAACCAACCGTTTATGATGAAAACCGTCGTACGTAACCTCGTTTGTATCTGGGACAGCACCCGAAATAACTAGGGCGTCGTCACTGCGCAAGCGCTAACGCAATTTGTAGGCAAAGCGTAAAATTCGGCGACCGTTATATCAGAGCCCCAACGAAATTAAGTTTTCTTGTACTTTTAATTGGCGACGTATGCGTTGGGGGGGAAGAGCTGAGTTCAAGTTAAATTAGTTGTGGCGTTGCTGAAATCGACCTCTGCTATTGCGGAAATACCTATCAAGTATATACACACACACATAAACCTCTGTTGATAAAACGTGTTGAATGTTTTTTTTTACTATCGCTTCGACGTTATGGCGGAACATCTAATTTACTGTCTTATATAAGTAATAAATACAGTTCGAGAAGGTTATTAAGTAACAGATAGTAGATTTTACCAAATGATGTTTAATCTTATTGAACAAAGATATTAGGTACATAAACAAAAAGAATGTAGTGTGGCAATAATTAGCTACGATATTCCTTTTACACAATACATTGACAAATAATCCCATATAATGGATTTTTTTACTAAAATGTTTTCTAATTAATATAATATAACAATAATATATATTTTTTGTTATAATAAATATTTGACTTAAAAAATGATCATAATAAATTCCAACCAACATTATTAAATATTAATTCAATATTTGCTATTATTTTATACAATTACGATGTCTTACAAGTCAATTTTCCTTTGTTACAATAAAGAGGATTCTAATACTTATTGTATTATTTATAACAAAGATATTTATGGTGATCTAGAGCGTTCTCTTTAAACAAAAGAAAACCACTGCTCTATGTATGATCACTAAGTCCTTGACATGACAAACACTAAGAGAGTATTAATCCTACATATTATAATAAGTTTGTCGTAATTTATAATTCATTCCGCATAATTTTTTTTCTTAAGATTTCATCAACATCAAGTACAAAAACCCCTCCTTCCAAACTCCCCTCCCCCTTTCTCCCTATGACCCCTTTCACTACTAATGTAATACAACCTGAATGGTTCGTACAACATGCATTCCCAAAAAACATAATGGACAATCCAATGAATATCAGCAAAACATATTCTACACTCAGTTTTTGTAACTAACTATAAAAATAAACGATTGAATCGTATAGGAAAATGAACGTTTTATATATTTATACTTGACTTGTGAAATTGAGAGAGTATTAGCAAGAACAATAAATTAATGATAGGGAATTTGACCTTATAAACACTATTCCAGTTTAAAGATTCCAATTAAAAATTGTTAAGAAGAAACTATGAGGAAGTATCAAATTTAGATTAAGTGGTGAACAAAAACCACTTGTCATACAGTTAGATTTTTTAAATTAACTTTCAAGTGTTACAGTCATGCCTCTTTAACGTGTGATAAGAAGCTAAAACGATAAATGTCGCAGAAAGCTGAGAATATCGCAGTGATAACAGATGTCACCTAAAAGTACGCTTAGCGTCACTCACCTGCTGACACTCCAGTCTCCAGTCTCCAAGAGATCGCTCCGCAGGCGTCCCCGTCTTCGGTCGGTGGTGGTATGCCAGTGGTTGCCATGTTGTATGTATTTATGTGTGTTCAGGCTGCTAGTACGCTGGCGCACGGGCGTCGTTCCCACGTCGACGCAGAACGCTGCCGCATTGTGTTCTATACGTCTATACGTATGCGCGGAAGAAGTTCTTGCTTGCCTTAACCCTCCCCCCCCGACATACCACTTCCCCACCCCTCCACGATCCGAGCTAAGCCCAATATTCAGCACGATCAGCATAGAATTAAAACACCGCTACGGAAAATAAAATGACGCCACTGATTCAAAGTAACTAAACAATCCGCTCGACCAACCTCATCGTCTACAGTTAGGCGTTTATATAACCTGACAATTAAATACTGCTTCGTATTACGAAATACAACAACATTGTATTTAAATTGAACAACTTGTGCTCTCAGTGATATTACTCGTACATAGCTATCAAACTAATATCAAATTGATAAATGTAATATTATATCTGTTTCATTTAAATACTTAGTACCAAGAGTTACACTACACAAATAAGCTATAAATTGCCAAAATACCTAATGAGAGCGGGATTAGAGTGCTGTGGTTTTCTATTTCTTTGTTTAAACTTCAATTGAGTTCAGACAGGATCTTTAAATTAATGTCAGTATTGTGAACTAAGGAAATTCAACAAAATTTCTACTTCACTCTGTAATCTAGATATTAATTTGAGATGATTTTATGAGATGACGCTAAAACTGACTTATCCTTGAACATTGAAGAGATAAATCATGACCGTTAAAACAGTATGATTGAAACTACAAAAACATTTTATTCGTAAATAATTATCTGACTGTTCGTTACACATCATACAGGATCTAGTTGGCAACAGATTGTTTTGAAAAATTTATTGACAAACAAACGAAACTTGTAACTTTTTAACGTCATTTCAAATTGAACTCAGTTTTTATATTTATGACATAAATACATAATTTATTTTATGGTCACACCATTCAACTGGACAAACACATTTAAAATATGAAATTTTAATCTATATCACATATTTCTATATTTAATATAAATAAAACTTAACAGTTAGACTTGTTTGAATTTCTACTAATTTACTAAGGATTATTACATTTACTAAGTAATTAAACAAGATCTTTTATTAAGAATAATGAAGGTATTATATTATGACAATAAATATGTAAAGAAAATTTTGTTTTAATATAACTGTCACACATATTTATAAGTACAAACTTTTTGTGATTTAAAGAATAGCTGTTATTGAATCTATTTATTAAATTATTAACTTTAATAAAATAAATTATCCATAGAAGAGATTGCAAAGGAGCCCAATTAACAAAAAACTTCTCATTCTCTCTTTTTATTTTCTTTTAAATAACAAATCTTTGTGCAAAAGTATTTATATATGATAAATGTGTTTATTAAGACATAGCAAATCGAAATTATAATTAAATTGAATTTTTATTATAGAATCATATATGGGCTGATTTTCAATTCAATTTTAATCAAAATTTGTGTTGAATATGAAATGTATGGTCGACTTTATAACAGGAATTCCAAATTATGTTTGCAGACTTCAATGTTTGCAAATGAATATTACATTACACTAGATACTTTTTCTACTATAAATTACTCAAGCATATTTATGTATTGAAAAGGTAAGATATTTTTATTGCACTAATTAAATTTTCTTTTATATATATTAAAATTTTCTTTCATATATTTTTATAAACACAATTATTTATAATTTTGTTTTGGTTCGATATTATTTGCTATGTATAAAATGACTGACAATGGTAACCTCATGTTATTGTGAAATTTATAAGTTAGGTAAGAGGAACGTATCTCTCCAACAACTCTTTGAATGATACTACATAGAAACAGATGATACGAAGTCACTGTTTCTACAGAAAATTTATTCTATTTCTTTTGAATGCTGTTCCAGTATAGACTATAATGATTTTTTTCTTACAATCAATTATTTTATATTGCTGAGATTTTTTTTGTAATCGCATGTCTTATGTTTCTGTCAATACCAAATTCATATTGTAATACTCTCATCATCCGTGAAAGGGAAAGTGTTAATCGTATGAACATTCGTATTTGTAACTCGAGATAACTTCACTTTCTCTCGTTCTCATTTTTTTAAGTTTCGTTTGAATGTTTCTTTCGAAAATCTGTCATATTTAACAAGAAACATAACAATTATTATTAAAAATTTAACTTCATTCATAGCATTGTAAATTTAAATAAACGTTAACTTTAATATTTAATAATACTCTACATGGATTTAAAATATGTAGAACACTAGAACAGATACAAAATAAGCCCCAGAACAAAGGGTGTCATACATATATCGAACGTTAGCGTAAAGGCCGGGCTGGGTTACGTAAAGAAGAAATAAATAGGTCGCTGAGGCTTTGGCTCCAACAGAGGCGGGGCTTACGATACTAGGTGCCCTACTTCCAAATCCCAATGCACAGCAACCTTTCATCGTGGTCAAATAAAATATTAAGCTAACATCAAGCCAACGCTTATTCTTAAATGAAAAAGTAATATCTTTGTTAGGATTTTAAAATAAGTTAGCAAAAAAAAAAAATTTCGATTCGTGAATATTATAGTTTGAGTTCTAGATAATTTATTGTATGATGTTACAAGTTGTGTCTGTACACGGTTTGATTGTTAATAAAAACTATTTCTTTTTCTCTTTGTAAACTATTTTTTAGTAGATTTGCTCAAGGTACAGGATGGGTTCTAGTGTAAGTAAAATAATGAAGGTACGAGATCGTTTAAACGACAATATACCAATAGTTATGACTACAGTGCGACAAACAAAGGATAAAGCTATAACCACAAAATTAAAAAAAAAATTATTGTAAAAACTCACTGAAATTCCATGTCTCGAAAATAATGTAAAGTTGATTTGCAATTCCTTAAACGCAATTGAAATAATGTTGTTTTGTAAATTGCTTTGCTTGCTTGCTGTTTATGAGTTAGAACATCGAATCAGTTGTTTAGATTTGTGATTAACATTTTATTATGTACTGATTATGATTGAACCCTTATGGAATCGTATTACGTGAAAAAAAATGACATACAGAGAATAGACTTATGTATTAGTAGGAAATTTTTCTTTAAATCATTAAGTTCTTATACGTCTGTATGTCATACAAATGTAGGAAACTTTATAGATACATTACATATATACTTATATTATTACTAATCTATCACCAGATGGTTTTGATTAGCTCCTCGTATATTATAATATAATGTTTAATTATTGTTGGTCAGCTGTTTTTAATATTAATTAGAGCACAAAAGGAGAACAAGCATTTAGTAGTGAAACTATTTTAGAAATAGCACTAGTAGTTTTTGTTCAGTACAGTAAATAAGTGATCTATAATATAAAATTCATCGAAGGTGACCTGAAACCATAGACAGCCTAGTGTTATAAATAATAAAAACTTGAGTTGTTCCAGCCCACTTTATGCAATTTTTTTGATTAAAAGTCATAAGAACTGACTAACTTGCTTTCACTTATCTCTCATGAAAAAAGGTTGTTTCTATTTATTGAAATAAATTCTCAAAGACAAAATATAAATGGCCAGAAAATATTTTAACCCCTGAATCGAAACAATGCTTTGTATAACCTTACAGATTCAATTTTATTATGTGGATGTCTCATGAGGAATCAAGTTCTATTTTATTATTTTTCTCTCTGTGTAAGATATTTATTTTTCTTTGTTTTCAGAGTTTAAGTACAGACTAACTTAAAACATTAAGTTAGTAAAATAGTAAAACATAAGCAAAAGTTCAGTATTTTAGTTCCCATTGAAAGATGTCAAAAATGTAACGTTTTATAGTATGTAAAGATATGAATGACATTTGATAGAATTTTAGTATAAAATTTAAGTTGTGTGAGAGATTAATCTATTTTCCACTGACTAAATTCAACTGCTAACTTCCTGCTAAAATTATTACGCATTGCTACAAAATTATGTAGATATTCAACACGTGAAATACAGACGCTAAGGATGGAAAACAATTCACAGTAAGATGTTTAGGAAGTAAAGACATGTATGACGTGTATTGCAATAAAAATAACAGCTCAATAATTCGCATATAAGTTATACCTAATAATTCGTTATATTTTTTACTGCTCCTATCTTTTGCAATTCAAACACAAATGTTTACCCTTGCATATTCGAATCCGAAGAGGAAATGATATAGATTTCAATGAACTCGTAGATAACTTAAGAGCTAAAACAGCATTCTAAAACTTGTTCATCATTGAGTCAGTCTGTGTTAGCAGTTTTAACTTATCTAGGTCGAGAGCCGCGTCCTACGTGCCAAGCGCATACATGTAAAGGGACCTACTATCGTACACGCTTTATTCACACACAGAGGCCGGCCTCGTCCAGAACTAGGCCGAAACTCGCGCATGCGCACACATCTTTAGGATATAAATACTATAATTATACAGATAATGTTATCCTCGAACACCGAGTGTAGTACGACCTAATTTCGCTTTAAGCCCCTCAAATCTAGTTGGTTTTTATATGCACGTTTAATGAAGTTGATCTTGTGTGTTAAGCTTGTTAAGTGTTGATGATAGGTACTGGCAATTGACATTCTTTTTCTACGGAAAATATTTGAATGAGAAATATAATACTTTATTTAGAAAAGAGCAAAATAGAAATATAAGAACTTAATAAAAACATAAAATGTTTATGATTTCTGAAAGAAACTCGGCGTTAAATAAAATCGATTCATTACATATATTTTCGTATACATACATCTACCTACTGCCGCAGCAGATAACTGCTACAATATTTAAATATTTATTTTATTTGTTGACTCATTGTTATGTATCTAAAATTTAACTCAATTCTCAATGTGGACTGTATTGTAACTAATGAACCTTTTTATAATTGTGTCGTCTACTTAGCGGAGTAGCTAGGAAAATAAGGGCGACTTCAAAACTATACGCACCTCTCCGAAATTGGGGCGACCTCTATGAAAAATAAGCAACAGCAAAATTAAAGCTTAACCTCGATTCGACGGAAGCTCCAATGTAATATGGCCCCTACTTCTCCTCCTCTTCTATACAGGGTTGTCAGATAGACAAGATTGTTAGGCTCTATGGCTTCCCACCCAATTAACTACACTCAAGTACGTAGTTTGTTGTTATATAAACAAAAAACTTAAAATACCTACACATACTACACTTAACACTACACACCAATACGTTGTTAAAATACAGTGAAGTTATAAACATTCACATTGTATTTTAATAACTTTTTCGTGTAACACTATTATAATTCTATTAAATATTATCTTGCACAATTTTATTAATGAAAAATAATTCGTCACTATCAAGTATTTGAGGTTTTAGATTTTAAAGATCTCGTCGCAGTCTATCTGGATCAAAGCGATAGATATCTATTCTCGAGAGCCATTGAATTAATTTGAATGCCACTAAATCCAGGGCTACACTTAATTATTTATAAGTGATATTGTGTATTTAAAAATATTTATTAACAAGGAATCATTTTATTTAATTAAATTTAGAAGCTCTTTGTCCACTTGAAGATCAAACTTATTATTCGCTTTATATTAATTGATCACTTATTAATAATATCTATACTGAATTGAAGATACGTAATATCTGTTTTATTATTTTACTAATAATGTGTCACAAAGGTCTTCTTTGTTCCCATATCAACATTCTAACTGACTTAGGCTCTGTAGTGATAGGTGGATGAATTTAATAATGATTTTTCTATAAAAATCGATGATGAAATAGTAAAAATCATATTTATTTAATAAATTTCCCATCTGTCTTATTTATATTATACATCAAGTATTACAATTATGGACAATTTGTATGTAACAAAAACTAAAGTTTGTCGTTAGAATCCGTTGCGATTTCTTTGTTATTTATAAATGAAATATCTTTTGAATAACTATCAAATGAATCGTTAGAATCTTGCACAATTCGTTTTCTTTGTGTATAGTAGTACTAGCGTATGTAGGTCATGGCCTATATTAACCAATGAAAAGGCCTCGAACTGACGACTTATTAACACTGAGTAAAAGGAATTTTAATAGAAAACATTCTCTAGGTATAATACTATTCCATATTGTATTTATTGAACTTGCCAGCAGTTGAAGTAAAGAGAAAAATGAAGATATATTAAAATACATAAGTATATATAATGACTTTGTATTATTAATCTTAATATGATGTTAATACGTCTCTTCTAAATAAATTATTTCCTATTTATTTGATTTACTTTGTCGCTTTTTATTAAAGCAGAAGTGAAATGTATGGTAAATGAAGGACAAAATATTGTCTCGAGTTTTTTACTAATTTAAACTTAATTTTATGAAGGATACATATTTTACTTTATATACCCAGTACCCTATAGTAAGGCAAAGATAGGTAAGATTTGTATATTTTTTTTTAATTTCATTTAGGTGAATACCTTTTCTTATAAGGGGAAGGAAAAGGCGACATTATGATATACTAAAAATTTTGAGAAAAGAATCCCTATTATTAATAGCTACATTAAGCAGCAATGACAGTTGATTTGCTTATTTTAAAATAACATAAAATTCATTCAATCTCTAAATGAAAGACTGATATTTTTCCAATATTTATTGAGTAATTCATCAAAATTCATTTTTTAACATCGAGATTTTTGGCAAAAACATTGTGTTGTCAAGACAATTACAAATAAGAGTACGATTTGGTCCAAGCCGTTTTCGTGATGTTTCTCTATGTCCTATGTAATTAATTCATTACTAAATAGTTTTGCTAAAACTTAATAACCAAGGGGCGACTTTGAAAACCAAAGAAAAAATAATAATATCCCAATAAAATTGTTTGTCATACATATATCCAATCTGTACGAATTTAATAATTCGATATTGTTTATATGACGACAGTGACATAGTAGAATTGCATTTACGATGTTAATTGAATTAATATAATGCATCAAAGGTGAACGGTTTAAATCTATATGTAAACAAAATATAAGCAAATATAATTTAACGACCTTTACTAGAACCTTCTGAGTTTCACAAAATAGCACTGGATCTATATCCTAATCCTATTTTAATTGTATTGAAACAGACTAAAATCTACAAAGCTGATGGCCTCTTGAGCCGAAGTAAAGGAGAGATTTTTTAAAGAGTAATATAACATGTTCGAATATCAATATCGCTAAACTTTATATATTTTGTAAATTCAAATAGTCATAGACCGCTAATATCTATTAGTATAAGACATTCGCAACTTAATATTAATAGTAGTATATTGTATAATAATAACATCAAATAGAGTAAAAATTAATTATAGTAAAAGTTAAGTAACAAATGCATAAAATAAAATAAGACATCAAATAGAATAAAAAAAGTCGAAAGAGAATAATCGAGAAACCGAATAATAGGTGAAAATACGTAAATTCGTTGACAAAATAGCGATAAAGTAAATACTAATCAGCTCTTACCAATACGTAGAATGAGACTAGAATAATTTAAATGGTTACAATTGTCATTCAATTGTCGTATATGGATGTATCGATTATATAATCAAATTGATTTGAAGAACAATTACTGTTAACAACTACATCTAATTATAATAATTAAGTACTTGAACATTAATACTTCACTATACATATTTATTGACGAAACATAGGAATAAAACAGAATTCTCACAACGTAACTATGCATCCAATCTGTTTTGTATTTTGTCAACATTTTTTCCGGGATAAAGACTTGTGTAATACTTGTTCATTTATAAATTACCTAATATTGATATATCCATTAGTTTCATCCCTCTGTAGTCACTTCTTAATAATGACTGTTTAGATGTTTCTTATATGTCACTTACAAATGTTTCGTCAGCAAATACAAATAGTTTATTTAAATCTTACATAATATCATTACTTGTATACCCCTACTACTTGGCAAAGTTTTAAAAATGGTGCATTTATATAGTTGGCACCAAACAGAAGACATAGTAGTAGTATATTTTGAATAATATTTTTCTAAAGATATCATTATTAAAGGTTTAAATGGGCAAGACATCTCAGACAATAAGTACTTGATACTATCACTACGTACATCCAATAGATATATGATTACTCGCTGATTTTATGATCGCGCAGGACTTTTGCAGCTTTAAGTATATCGCCGTCATTTGAATCGAGTTCTCGTTGGCAATCTTCGAGAGTTACTTTGTCGTTCTTGGATGCTATCTTGACGCGCAACACTTTGATAGCGTTGTGGACATTCCAGTTGCTGAACTCCAAAGCTTCAAGACATTCTTCCGGTGAAACCTAAAAAATACGGCTTTAAACTTAGTACGTATATTATGTTAAAGAACGTTACTTATAAATCGATGTAGGCACTGATACGTATTATACGGTAGGGGGAGATACTATGAAATCACTATAATATGTTTATAATCAAATAAATAATTAGGAAACATGATACAATTCGACCTACTTTATTAAATAAAGTGGTTTATGTTATACTCACTTCAAGTTTGAGGACTTTGTTCATAATCCTGACTTCATCCGACTCGACGCCGCGCTGCTGAGCTGACGGCTTTTGATCAGCAAACTCTAGCAAATCTTCCACTGATACATGATCTGAAAAATAAAATAATCACTGAATACTACTAAGTAGTAGTAGTTTTAAAAGTTTAAAACTTAGTGTATAAATGTCAAATGTTTATGTTGTTGTTTATTTTGAAGGACATAGTATATAGAGCTCACAATCCATTCAAAATCTAATTACCTTTTGATAGAGAGACTTCTATAACGCCAGGTCCATTGACTTGAACGGGGCCTTCATACTCGTCATCGGAGTTGTCGTCAACGTTGTCTGTTATGTAACATTGGAATGGGTTCGCTGAGGCCGTGGCGCTGTCCTGCATGGAATTAAACGGATTGGTGTCTTTATGTTCCGGCCCATCGTACACATCCACACCACTCGGCCCTGCCACTGGCCCGTCTACTATCTGCACTCCGTGGATGGCGCAAGTGATCGTGTTCTGATATATAGCAGCCGCTGGTCGCTCTTGTACGACGCTCGGGGCCGGCTCGTTTGGTAGACGCAGAGGATATTTACGGACGTGCCGCGGTTTGTCAACTAATTTCGGCTTGGTGCCCCGAGGCGGTAATGGAATGACGTTTCCGCTCTGTAATATTATTAATATTTTATTATTAACATCTATCAAATTTCATGTCGATGGCTGGGATATACTTCATGTGTAAATTTATAATTTTTGACCGTATTTCCAAAATTAAGTAGACCCCTAAAGATATTTCCTTCAGTCTCGACGTTGTCTAATATTATTTGTCTTTAGTATGCCTCTTTATATAAAAAAAGTTACTTCTCACCTCGCTGTCATCGTCGTCATCACTTGAATCTGAATCCTGTGAAGAATTTCTGAAACAATTTTTAGTCCCATGTTGTAGAAAGCGTTGCTTATTAAGGATTGAATATATAAAATCAAATGAATAAAATATTGCCCTGAAATTTTTCTTAGAGAGAAAAACGGCTATACACTTCCTCATATAAGACGGAAAAACTTAAGATCATAATGAGATCTAAGATTTTCGCGATAGTCGTTATAATAAACTTATTAGCTTTTATGTTTTGAGAGGAATATTTTTATTGTTATTAGTTATCTCATAAAAATGGGAAATGGATATTTAATCGCTGTGGTTTCTAGTTGAAGTTAAACAGCGGCCAAAGAATGATTATGTAAAAATCTTTTCAGAAGTTTTGAAATGAATACATATCAATTCCTTAGAAGCTGATCTATGTTTCAGTTTACCCTAGCTCATGTTCAATCTTCGGTAGCGTGACATGCGGTGTGATGGAGGGCGGCGGTGGCGGCGGCGGCGGTGTGTAGTGCAGCCCGGACGTGCTCGGCATCTCGCGGGACAGCTGGGCCCTCATAGCTCGTGACGGTACAGGCTGCTCGATCAAACTCACGTACGCCTGACGACTCTCCTCAGTGAGCGAAGCCTGACAAGTTATCACATACATACTATTCATCTATTTCCATACATCTAATTGTATAAAAAACAACAATTATGACGAATTTAAAGATTTCTTGATCTATGATAAACGCCTTTTAATAAATCCATGTAAAAACCCTACCTGTATATCAGGAACGCTTCTCGCTTGCTCCGTGAAGTTACGGTGTTGGACTCCTGCAATAGAAAACATAAAATGGTGGTCTCCCTTAATTTAAATATATCAGATAATAAAAAATATATGGTTTATAACTTGACGTAAAAATAAGTATATTCAAAATCATATATAAAAATAAGTTTGGTACCTTTCAGACATGTACATATCCCAATGGCTATTAAAAACTATGTCTTTATCAAAGTATCCTCTTAATATCTGAGTTATTCTCACCATTTTCCTTTGGGGATTCGTGATGTATGCTGTGTGTATTAAGCGACGTCACTAACGGGAACCTGAAGTGGAATTTGGAGCTCGGTGAGTTCAATGGCTTGGTCACACCGCCGAGATCGTTCATGGACCTGAGACATTCCCCTTACATGTATACTTAGCTACATTTATCTAGTTCTATTCGCTATTTGTTTATTAGCGTTGTCACTCATTTGTTTAATAATCTATTAATTGTTAGTTCTATCTCCTGTCCATTGATAAGCGGTTTCAAGCGGTTAGACCTTAGTCATTTTATTATACATTGTAATATATTGCATATGTATAATTAAATGTATGTTTATTTATATATTTTTATATATGTACATATTATACATATATGTATGTTAATTTATATAAATACAAACAGTATGAATATAATAAATAAATACTTCTTTTCATTTTAAAAAGCGTTATCAGGACAAATTAACTTTCCCAGGACACACCACACTTGTCTTATTAAAGTTTAAACCCCCGATTAATTTACATAAACTATTAAGTTCTTGATGTTTCATGTTTAAGGACAAATGTATTATGCTCAGGACAGAATCATTTGACCTGTTGTTGATTTCAGCACAACAAATATACTAACTAAATATATTATAAAAACAAAACTTATAATAATATAAGTCTATGTTAGTGGTTTAGTAAATATAGTAAAAAGAAAGTAAATCATCTACATAGCGGTATAATAAATATATAATAAGAATATTAGATATAGTATAATATTAACTTGGTAGTAATCTCATTGGCCATAGCCACGGCCGTATTGAGAGTTTTTTCATCGTGAGCTGACATTGGCTTCATTGTACCAGAGTTACCCTTCCTCTTCTCCAATTGGTTCAAATTATGGAGCCTAGAACAAAATTTAAATATCAAACGTATCCTTTAAATATACATAGTTAATACAAATCTCGTACAGACATTCTGTAAGATAGGCACAGCTTCAATAAACGTCTACTAATTTTATCTTCCTATTTCACCGTCCTACACAAAATTATATCTGTTTAAAACAAATTACTACATATAACGGATGCAGTGTCATTTAATTCGGTTGATAATATATTGCATTGACACTTTTAGCGTTATCATACAAAACTTGTGAAGTCATCAAAATAGTAATTAATCGAGAATACTTTTATTTCTTTGTTATTATGGATCAAGAAATAATTATACAAGAGTATACAAACAAATTAAAGTAAATTTACAAAATTATAGATTCATCAGATTCATTAAGCCTGAATTATCTTTCTCTCTAATTTTATTCAAATCGTGATCCTACGATAAAATTTACAAAAATAATATAATACAAATACTAAATAATACAAGCCACGTATAAATTGATATTTATTCAATAGACCCTTGTCTTTGTTTCTTATCATATATAAATATTTAAGATATAAATAAAAATGTCTGCTGTGATTTTCTTCAGGACATTAATTGTTTATCTATACCGATTTAATGTCATTTTAATACATCACTGCGCAAATAAAAATATATTTAAAACTAACACATCTTTAGTAATAAATAACGTTCAGTATAAGAATGAATTAGCCGATTCAATTACTTAACTTTTCTTATAAATATATAAGCAAATTTAATAGTTAATGTAATTATAATTACCTCAAGGCTGCTTCAACATCGCTATCCTTGATTCTTACGATCTGAAAATTTTAAAGGAAATAATTTTTAAAATATAATCCAAGTATAATGACTGAAATGAAATCTACCAGCGTGCATCTCAATGACACCCGAATATTAAAACTGTCTTTAATGTATGAAACAGATATGTACATGCAAAACATTGATAAGTTAGTGAATCGTGTGTTGTTGTTAAACACTTTATTATCTATAGTTTTGGTGTATTTATTTATTATAAAACGTTACAAATAATACAACACAGATAGAAAATCATACTTTTACTATGGACTTACTGTGAAAAAAAAATAACACTACAGCGACGAAAACACACCTGACCCATACTACAAAACAAATCTTGTGTGATGGAGATAACAATATTTTTAATGCGTACTGTAATTTATCGATAAAATATATTTTAAACAATAAAGCAACAAATGTTTTAAAAAATCAAAAGCTTGGAAGAAAGCGTTACCATCTACCTTAATTTATATTTACAACATGCATTTTAAATTATTAAAAAATACAAACAGTGGAGACTTTAAAATTAAAAAAAATATCTAACATAGATAAGTCTATATTAAAAATGTAGTGAAGTATAAAGATGAAAACTCAATGTAATAACATTTGATATTAATTTAGGATGATATATTTAATAAAATAATATTAAAACAACATTTACAACAACGTCAATGTTACATAAGTTTAATACGTACGCGTATACGTATCCTTGTTTCAAGTATCGGCTACAAAACAAGCCAATGTTAATACTACAAATAATCATTATCAAAAAACTAGGCGTAAAAATTCAAATTGAGAAAACTCTGTCACAGTCACAAAGCGCGTTCTCTCAATTTCTATTATTTACAATGAAAAATCTAGCAAAGTGGAAAAACGCTACTCTCAAATACCAACAAGCCTATTCTTACCCGCGCTCCGCTAAAGGGACCTGAATAAACGAAATTTTGAAAGGAATTACTTCCATTAAAGCCAATTGTATTCCGATAATATATATTATATATTAGAGAAAAGTTTATTTTAAATATAAAATCTGTATGAGGATGTATTCATTCCGTAAAGCATATCTTCAACGGGACACTGTAAAATATAGTTAATATTTATATTATATGATACTTGAAATTTAAATTTATTATATCTCTCTAACGTTTTTTTTTTTCATAGAACCTTACTTTACCTTAAATGCTTATAAAATTAACTTACTTCGTCGCCCCGCTTGTGTTCTAGACTGCGGAAGATAGTCTCCATTTCTTCTAGAAGACTCTTGCTGAAGTCAGCATAGCTCTTCTATATTACAAACACGACAATGTATAATTATAACTCGCATACATACAAAAATATTTATATAAATATATACATGTATTTTCTATGACTTTATATTTGAAGATAATTTATAAATATCTTTATATACAGGGTGACTGGTGAATTACTATCGATATTTAAGGAGAATACTCGGTACATGATTCTCATTCGAATTATGTAAAAAAAATAGGTACTTAATTTTTGACCAAATTTCCGTATAAATAAATAAAGTGTTGACACGTTCCAAGTGTTCCAAGTGTGGACGCGTGCTGATACAACACCACGCCCCCTCATGCGTATGTGTGAGTGTGTGGGTATACCTAATCTGTAGGGTGTTTACACGATGCGTAATTAATTACATAACTTTTGGTTAACTTTACTTAGAAGTTTATTAATATTTATGTTATATTAATTTTTATTTTGTCATATATGATCGTCAAATATCACGTCCTCAAATATCGATAGTAATTCACCAGTCACCCTGTATAATTATTCTGTGAGTGTGTATGTCACTGAACTTCTCTCAAACGACGGGAGTGATTTTGATGAAATTTATTGTGTGTGTTCAAGGGGATTTGGGAATTGTTTAGATTCACAATTTTGCCCGCTGGACAATGTTTTTTTAATTAATTTTTAATTTATTGGTAGTTGTTGATACAAACGTTTTTTTTTTGATATTAGATTTGACAACTAACTAATAAGTCAATCATTCTGTCGCACTTCAAAATACGGAGATCTATGGCTTTAATAAGTAAACTCCAAAAATATAATTAAAAAAAGGTAACAAATATTTCTTGATTATAGGGCGATACGAAGTTCGCCGGGTCTTCCAGTCTATATATAAATTACTCTCCAAATCTAAATTTATAAAATACATCTTTTTCTCTATGTATCGTATATTTTTACTTACAACAACAATCCCGGGACTCTCTGGACCCCCTTCACCTTTGTTTTCGGCCGCAATACTCTCCTAGAGATATAGGTTACATTAGTGACAAATAATGTTTATAAACAACAATTCATATAGATTAACTTTAAAATTATTCGAGTATTAAAATTAAATATGTTTCTAACTGAAACCTTTTTGGTAAATAATTATTATGGAAAAAAGTAACATTGTAAAAGATTAGCATTGGTTTCATAATATACTCATATTTCCATTCTTCTATGTTAAGCAGTATATAAGATTAATGTTCTGTAAATAAAATAAAGGTTTAAAACCCCCTAACATTACATTGTATTTACACGAACATTTTAATTGTTATACTCATTGTGAACCTCCTAATCCCTAACATCGGTATCGATTTAATTTGACTTTATTTCGACTGTTTCCTTCCTTGGGCTCTATTTCTCTTAGGTCGGTATAGACATTATCCATATAAATATCGTGTATATATTACCGTATCAGTGTCGGATATCTCGTGGTACTCGTGGACTTCGTCGTTGTTATCACCTTCATCACTCTTGTTCGAACGTCCCAACGTCGCACTCTTCACCTACAAACATCGTAATGATATACATATAGACAATAATCACTTATACCACTTCTTTAGGAGTCTTTTTCAAACAATAGGCTAAAATCCTTAAAGGGACTTGTCATTCAAAGGTGAAAAGAATTTTTGGAGTCAATATGAGTATAATCCTATAAAATATTGATCGTAATCAACACGCAATTGATCAACCTACTTTCTTCTATAGTAACAAAATTTTACACAAAAAAAATAACATTACTATATTCTAATGTAGTACAGATGGGCAAAAATTACTAATTAAGTAATTACTTACTATATGTAATAATAATATTATGTAACGATAATATAATGTAACTACAAGAAATAATTTATATGTATATATTTATGTAAATTGCAAAGGAAAAAATGTTTACTTATACATTTTACAGGGTTTTGCTCTAAATTGAATATCTGTATTACTTATCTTGTATATCAAAATAACAGTTTACCTTTGACCTTACCTTGTAGATGAAGCTTTTACTTGTAGTCGGCTCATTAATGGTTTTGAGAGGTCTTATCATACCTTTGAATTTGCCGTCAGCTGTGAAAAATTAAGAATCAGGTATCAATGAGAATTGATGTTCAATTAAGATTTAGATGAATAAGTATTATAAGTACAAATCTAGTAAGACAAAGTAACTTAGGACAAATAAATAGGTTCAAATAACATTGTTACATGATACTCCAGAAGAATACCTATATAATTTATTACATGTACGTATGTGTTGTACAGTTTTTCTGTGCTAATATAACTACATTTAATTGTTGCAATTACCAAGCAATCTTAGTGATGACAGACTAAACAACACATACATTAAACAGACTATATTTGTTAAATAGTACTGTAACTCACGGTTAGCATCATTATCCTGTTTTGGTGAATCAAGCAGCGGGAAGGCGCTGAAATGAGATGGCGAGTGTGGATTTATGAGCGGCATCTGCTCCAGATCCTCAGATGGTTTGTAAGGAGTCACAACCTGCCGTGGTGGCTGTAAGGGGGAAACTATATCTCAGTTACTGTTATCATCTAGACACTTAGCATCTTACCTATATTTTACTGTTTAGGTCTAAACATCGACCTCGACAAAGGCCTGTTGTAACAATGTGCAACAAAGCTTTTTTTATTATAAATTACATTGTTTCTTAACTGTGGATACTTAGTATATGTGCTATTCTATTAAAAAAAAAACATTAATTTCATAAATTAAAAAAAACATTTCCTGAATAAAATAGTTGCAATAAGGTAATTTAAATGTACTTTACGAACGTAAAGTTTAGTATTATTTTAAATAAAAATAATAAGGAAATGATATTAGAATTTAAAGAATAATTAATATGGAAGAATATCTTTAAGGATATAACAGAATATTGTCTGCTTTTTTATATTAATTACATTTTCACTGTAAAGTCGATATAATTAAAATTTAAATGTAGAATCCATATCCCAAAGAGATTCTATACATGTTCATACTTACAATGCCGGCGGAATCCAAAAAGGATATATCGCCAAAGTATGCACCGTCAAGGCCAAAGTGGCTGGTGTGTTTAACGTCACCCTGTGGACTTGATATCATGCTTCTCTGTATGGTACGTTTGCCGGAGTATGTGTGTCTTTTGAGATCCGACCGCAATAGGGATGATCGAATGTTACGAGTTGAATTGCGAGTTGGATGAGACAGTGAGCCAGGCAAACTTCGCTAAGGAGAAATTTGTTGGAAGCGTCTTTTACTATTTATATAAAAAAGCGCATGGTGAGTTATAAACGAAAGTAAGGATGTTAGATATTTGACATTATCGTATTTTACTTGGTTTTCCAAGAGATTAAACTTATAAAAAATTAAAATCGATACCATTCAGTTAAATTATGTTCCTAAACATATCAGTCACAAAGTATTTTTTTTTTTATAACATTTATGAATTATTCATCGAAGCACAAGAAAAGACGGAAGATATCTTGAAAGACAATAAGAAAGTAACCAGTGAATCTTTATGTACATAATACAATGTAGTAAATCCTTTGTTTACAATTCTACACAATGAACCGATTACTATGCTAACATGAGAAAATCTATTGAGCAAAAAGTAAGACAATCTTTCTGTGACAAAAAACTTGATTGAATCGACATCATTAATTTTATAATATATAGATTTAACGATCTTTTCAAAAAAATAAACTACCATTACGTACGATATTGAGTTTTGCTCCCTTTTGTTGAATAAACATAAGTTATTTATAATTAAAATATTTGATTTCTTCCATTACAAATGTAGAAATTCCTATTTTAAATTATGTTAAAAAATTTATATTCTATAAAAAAATACAAAATTTTTCAAGTTAATGTCAAATATCCTTACATCACAGAACCCATAAGATAAGGACAAACACAGTCCACACTCAACAAATAAAAAAATAAATGCAAGGGTAAACATGAAAAAGCATTGATGAGAGTACAGCATGCGAGTTAACTGATGTAATTCAATACCGATCTCACCTCGGGCTTTACATAAGGTTTGGTTTGATTTGGATCGAAAAGTCCACACGCACCGCCTGGCAGCACTCCATACCACATAGCAGATTTAGTATAATTTCTGTAAGGATCACGATAATGTAGGGGTGGGATGTTTAAATGAAGACAACTATATGAATAACGCTCCCTCAACCCGTATATACAATATACATACTGTTTTCCGATCACAGTGATCTTTTGTCCCGTCTTGTATTCGAGAAAGTTGCTTCGTCTGCCATCTTCATGTTTCTTATATGTTGATATGGCCTGAACCTATTAAAATTAAATTAATGAATAAGTTTTATAAAAAAGTACAAATTGTTTATAATCACTGTTTTATAAATATTTGTGAAAATTAGGATTCTTAGAAATATTTTCAAGTAATAGATTGTGTTCGATACCCACCGAATAATCGATTGTAGATTTTTTTTTATGTGGAGTCAATTAGAATTAAAACACTTTTACAATACGAATATTGTTACAGTGTACACATACACGTGTGTTTTATAAGAAACTTTACTTGTTATATTTAAAACAATCTTTGCTTTGTTTTCGTCAGTTTTTTTAAATAATTAAGTCTAGTCCTGATTTTGGGATCTCAAAAGAATATAAGGTAACTGAGACTTTATTTGTCATTAAATATCTCACAAAAACTATTTCAGCCGTTTTAGAGCCGTATATAAAGAATTATGACATTTCATTTTAAGTCAAAATTATATTCTTCATACAAAATCAAACAATTTAAAACAACTTTTGAATATCTTTAAAATATCCTTTTAGTTTTAACCGACGTATTTATGGACCATCTCAACTAGTTTCTGGCCCTTGCAATTTTTTGAAACTGAAATACTATAATACCTTACTTACATACTTTATTACTATTTTTAACTTTAAGTTATATTTAGAAAACACTGCGAGCAATTACAATGCTGGCACTTAATGCATATAGTTTTAACAAAATCACTAACCTCTTCAGGACGTATCCCACGCAATTTAATTGCAAGGTCTTTGAATTTTGGTCGATCATTTGGATCATGCGACCAGCACTCCAACATCAATGAATAATAAGAATCGGGGCAACAATCCGGACGCTCCAAACGCTAAAATTACAAATTAAAATTATTATGACATATTATAACCTGTAAAATAATTGAGTGAATATTATATTAAATGAGTGAAAACCATCAAATATACAAATTGAACAAGCGTTGATGAAAACGAACTACTAATTCGACCGATATTACAAAATTAAAAAAGTATATAATATTGTAGTTAGAAACCATATTCTTGCTAAAAAAAATCCTAACGTAATTGTTACTTCTATTTCGAGAGTGAGTCAAAATAAAGTGCCTGAAAATTGGGAGCGTCAATGGCCTCCAGAATCTGCTGTCCTGAAAAAGCAGCCCACGGCTGGAATCCATACGTGAACATCTCCCACAGACAGACAGCGAACGCCCAAACATCGCTTGCAGAAGTGAATCTAAGGTAGAGGATGCATTCCGGGGCGCACCTAAAAAAATCGATTCATTTCTAAATCTTAAAAGTAATCTAAGTAAATTATAGATCATAATTTCCATTGAAGAAAACATTAAACAGTTTTGTTTCTACAATTAATTAAAGTAGTAGAATAAAACATATTTTTTGTGTAGCTTTTAAGAAACTAAAGTTTTTAAGACCAAGATATATACAAAAAAAAATGATCAGGAGAAGATGGTAGTGTATTTAGATTAAAGAATTTCTTCTTACCAAGCTACTGGCAATTTGAGATTCACATTATAATTTGTCTGGTAGTAATCTTTTCCGACTCCCAGAGCTCGGGACAGACCAAAATCGGATATCTTCACTCTATCCTTGCAGAATACTAAGATGTTCCGAGCTGCCAAATCCCTTAAAGAAATAAAATAACAATATAAGTGGAAAAAATGTTACTTGATAAATGCTTTAATAGGAAGCCGAAACCGGACACTTTGGATGTGACTCAAGATGAGTAGTTTTATATTAGGGCAAAATATTTCTACTTTGTTAACAATTTCTATTAAATATGATCCCTCAGTACATCTAGGGCAGGTGACTTGACCAATCGGGACGTGTCGACCTGATCGCCCACCGGTATATTCCGGTGCAATCAGTCACCTGGGCCTTTCTGGCCCGTAAATCCCACTTAACCGCCTCCGTCTCACCTAGACGGACGGATAAGTATAAAACCTTTCACCGCGTTAACAAAAAAAAGGTGATTTAACCAAAAGGATCTTGAAAAAAATCGAAGGGTTTAAATTTAAACAAAATAGATTTATAACAGACGGATGACAAAAATCTTTAATTAAACTATTTAAAAGAACCGAAGAAATTAAGCAGGTCACTATACTGTAACACAATATTTTACCTTGATTTTTTAAGTTTTCGAAATAGTTATTTCCACAAAATAATTGGAATATCTTATACAATTAATAACAAAATAATATTTAAAGTTATCTAAACTTATTGAATCTGGGATTCATTACAGAGAAAGTTTAAATAAAAAAATATTAAAATTCGAACAGCTCAGAAACTTCGCACCAATTTTCAAAATGTTCAAAGCTTGGTTATTAAAATTATAGCGAGAAGTTTCAGGATGTCTTCTGGAGTCCACCATTTACAATTAAAGTAAATTCAAAGATTCAAAAATCATATTTTTTTTCACGTTGATGGTTTGATACATTTCATTAATAAATAGTATGGAGAGTTTCCGTGAGAACCCTAAGGCTTAGGTTACTCCAGCGGTAATACTCCTAGTATCCGAAGATGAGACATCAGCAACGACTGTTTTGCTCCACTCCACTTGTATGCTCCCAAAAGTAAAACTAGTCAACTGCATTATCCCTCCACTTTTGACAGAAATACTTACGAAAACGTAATCGTTCTAGACCTGTAATAAGACAGGTGTGTGATGTCACCCCTTTCTTGGGAACAGACTGTACGGTGAATACTTTCCATGAGGACGGGATTTTATCATGAAGCAAGAGAGCAATAATGAGCGTATCAAAATTTATACATAATTCAGGAACATATTACGTTTTTAGAACAATAGCAGGAATAATGTTGGGATATGTCTGGGGCGCAAGTGGTGGCCTAGTGTTTAAAAGGCCCGCCTCTCATGCACGAGGGCGCGGGTTCGGTCCTGGCCCGGGCAAGAACCAATGTGATTTTTCCGAGTCATGTGTACTTTCTAAGAGTATTTAAACATCACTGATTAATGCATTCCCAAAAAGAGGGTTGATGTCAGGCAGGCGGCCGGTCGTAAAAAAAAAACAATTAGCCAAAACTATTTACAACATGATCTGTGGAAGAGAAGAACATGTTTTGCCGACCCTACATAAAATGGGATCAGGACAGGAAAAAAAAAACATCTGGGGCGCAACATCTATGGTTGTTTTAATGAGAGCAAACGAGTTCCGTGTTTAAGCTATCAGACCTGTATAAAGATACTTATAGCGTAGGTATATATGTACCATAACATACAAAGCTTGTGGTCAATCCTGATCTCAGCGTATATATCGTAGGCATTGTGAAGAGGACAGTACATTTAAGTTTCCGTCAACAAAAGAAAATGTATATTGTAGTGGACTGCATGGAAGTATAATCCCCTTATGCTACAGAGGTCCACGTGAAAAGTGGCCAAGGCACCTTCGTGTTTTAAACACATTAAATTTAAATACAAAATAAAATACGACGGAGTGATTTCTTCGATATTCTGAATGCTTTTTGTGTTTTATGTACCACAACAAAAAAGCGAAAGTTGTTCCTAGATTGCCGAACGACGATGATTGTGATTGTTCATTGGAAATGGATGTGTGCACGATAGAAAGAGCCTCAACATTTAGTAGGAAGGTCTATATTCAGCACTAGATATCCATGAAGTATTTTATTTTTTTGAACAAATGTTTCAGGAAAGATAAAAAGGTTTTCTGCCTATCAGAAACCACAAATTAAACATAAAACCATTACAATAAGCTCAATGTCAATGGCCGTCTATATGAAAGTGCTGCTGTGTCGGTAGCAGGAACCATATTACAAAATCTGTAGTCAAAAGTTTTAAATCAGGTTTTAATGGTTATTAGGTATTATTAATTATTTTCATATTTATACAAGTTATTGTTAGTTGCTTTATTAATGAATTGAATATGTATTGCTAACCTATGTATCAGTCTTTTCTTCTCTAAGTAAGTCATTCCATCACAGATCTGTTCCGCAAACTCACAAAGCACCGCTACAGAGAAGTCAATACGCAATGTAACCTCCCTCAAACACTCAAGAAGCGATCTCAATGGTGCAAGTTCAGTCACCTATAAAAAAAATATCAGGTCAATGTCTTATTTATACGTCTCTTGTAATCCTTAAAAAAGAAAACTAATCAGTATTCTGTGTCAAATATATATATATATTGCAAGAAGCAGTTACAGAAAGAACCTGTATTGAATTAACATTACATTTTGAAGACAGATTAGCAAGATATATTTGTAAAAAAAATTGGAATTAAGTATACTGAAGAAAATTACAGTAACTACACTAATTGATGGATGGTTAATTTTAATCAATGTCAGTTAAAATAAAAAAAATAAAACATAGTAAACATAATTATTGATGATAATCCTATCATTTCTAAGAACCATGTCTCCAAATCTTAGCAGGACTAGCTTCATAATATGGAGGTGTAATAAACTTGTGTGCCTTTTATTAGTGAAAAATATAACTTTGAATAAATGTGGATATCTTTGTTGAAATTATCGTTTTACTAGGCCACAATCAGGCATTGCAAAATAATTGTGGCTTATAGTAAATAAGGTTGAAACTATATCCATATTTGAAATGAATATACTTAGACAATGGTTAGTTTAGTTATGTATCATATGTTAAATTATTACTGGTATATTGTTTTTTGGACTTTAGATATTAGGTTTTTGGATATAAGATTTAAAAAAAAATTATAAAACAGAAATTATAAGGTACATAAATAAAAGATATTTCCTTTAACATTCAAATTGTTTTATAGATTTGAATGAAATCATCAGTGATAGTGGATAATAATCAGATCCTTAGAAATTCTTTTGAATGACGTCTAAAATCTTAATAAAACTTTTAACCACAGAACTAAAAATTAACTTACCAACATCAAAGAATCTAAATGCAATACAACTCCATACAAGCGTACAATATTGGGATGTTCAATACTATGCATCACTGCTGCTTCCTTGAGGAACTCTGTTGAGTTTGATGTCATCTTTTCATTTCCAAGGCATTTGATTGCTACCTGCAGCTGATGAACAAAGATTATTACATTATTTGTTGAAAACTTTTGTACACATCAATCAAAAAATATTTCTAAAGAATTTACAATCTCATGTAATAATAATAGGACAAGCCTTTATATATTTTTAATTTCTTACTCTTTGATTTCCAGTATTCCATGTGCCTTGCTGCACAACTCCAAACTGTCCCATGCCAAGTTCCTTATTAATTGTAATGTCCTCAATTGAAATAATATGTTTTGTCGGCACTTTTACATTCATGTCTGATGTCTGTACATCAAGTGTTACATTTATTTGCTCCTGTTTCATCTATAAATGAAGGGAAATTGTTACTCAGAGAACATTTCGCTTAAAGAAGCTGCTATATAGTTTTATAAATATTACTAAATCTGCCTTTCGGTGGCCGCTTATAAGTCTCTTCAGTTTAGTTATATATGTGTTCGGGAAATATCTGGAATACAATTTCTTGTATCTTCGTTGTTCTGGCTTAGAAAGTCCAATTTGAATTAAATCTTCAACAGCCACAAACTTTAGCTGTGATAATTTTGTGACTTTCAAAATATCCCTAAAACAAATCATACATAAGATACATCATTTGTGTAGATAATTACAATATTATTTTTAATACTCATATTTCATATTGTTCATAAAACATATTACTAAAAATATTGAAATCAAGAAAAATCATTTGTGTAAGGTTTTATTAATTAAGTAAAATAATAAAGATTATTATGAGCATAATAATAAAATTTGTGTGATATTTTTTGCATAACATACATCCTACATGTCTTAAAGTTTTAATGCAAAATAAAATGATAAATTTACAATATGACATTTTAAAAATATATTCAAAATTAAGAATTCTTTTATTGGTGTAAAAGAGTACATATAGAAACAAAATTATCAAATAATTAAATATAATAACAAAATGAAACAAAAAGGAGGAAAATAAACTTAATTAATTATATTCAATTGAAATAAATAACTTATTCCATACTAACTATTTTGTGTTATAAAATAGGTACAAATTGTAAAAACAGAAATATTGAAACCAAAAAAGAAATTGCAAACATTTGCCAAGTGAAGAATAGAGAATCTCGCGTATGCAAATAAATATCAACAAGATCATATTTTCTTTAACTTACAACATAAAAAAAGTCATATAACATACAACATTCCTTATTACATTCGCAAGGTATTAAGTAAAATCAATATTAGAGAGCATGCGCAAAACTCCGCTATATATCAAATTTGTATGCCATTTTCGCAGTAAATAGAAAAATTACCTAAAACACCCATAATACTGCTCAAGATCAGCTTCTTCCAGAAATGCAATCAAATCCTCTTGATCATTAGCTGAGTTATCTAAAAAATCACAACAATATTATCCTCACGAAATGTAGAGATATATCAATAAATCTGCGATTATTATACTTACCCATTGCTATAGTTAAAGTAAAGTAAAACAAAAACTAGAGGACGATAAATAATTTAAAAAATGACAAGAAAACTTAAAACTTTACTTAAAACTGAACGGTAGAGTTTAATACAGGTAGAGCTATATTGAACTGGTTTCTTGAAGTATTGATCGATAGGTAACGCAGTGTTGCCAACATCAAAATATGTTATGTTTACCTGTTAAAAAATGCTGTTAGTTTATGGTTTAAATTAAAATTATAACTAAGAAGCCAAGTTATATAATACCAATAAAATAAAATGTATATATATACAAGCACTCTAAGCTTACAATTCAGCAAATAAAGTAGGCATGTACTACCCAGTCACAAATATATTTTTTTATATTATTAGTTGTAATATATCGATTTCTAGAAAACAAGTTGTCAAAATTAATATTCGAAAATTTCGAAAAAGCTAAGGACGCATAGTTACTTTTCTTTCCAATCGTACTAACATAATAAAGAACTGGACTTCTATTCATTTCATTTAAAAATGCCTTTATATTTTAGGAGCCGAAGTTCTTCGTAAGCCTATTGGTCCTTCATTTTCCATTTAATTCACAGTTATTGATTTAGGGCAAAGAAGATTAAGGCGATAACTACATATTGAAATACGACAAATTTTTCTTAAAAAAGTTTTTATTACTCGAAGAATTTAACTGAAGTCATAAAAGTGGGATTCGTCCATAGAGCTTCGAGTTTTTCAAATTTAAATACTCTTGATTTTACTTAGTAATTTATTTATCTTAAGCCTATTTTTTATCAAAAATATTTGAAACATTTTTAAATGACTTTATTGCATATTTAGTTTAATTTCAATAAAAACATGTACCCAATTCCTTTGTAGGTACTAGATACTACAATTTTACCAGATATTAATACGAGCAATAAACAAATATAAAAAGGAGCCAGATGATGTTTGTTAGAAGTCAAATTTAAAAATATACATACTGATCTTCTGCTTTGAGTATATTGCCATCACAAAACGTAAAACATATATAAAGATTAAAAATAAACTGTAGGTCGTTAAGATATATCTAAGGGCTTGAATTATTGATCTATAGAGGAAGCTGTGTTGCTCTCGAAAAATCAAATGTCTTTCTAAAAAGATGTTTGTATCGCATTAAATTTTTTTTCACTATTTAAGGTTAAAATATAATAAAATATTTTATTTGAGATATTTAGTATGAAACTCGTTCTTATTTTAAATTTATTTTTATACTATCATAAAATTGTGTTTTTTAAGAATGAAAATAGGCACCATATTTTGAAATATTTTATTGTTATTTTTTATTACAGACAAGATGATAAAAGCTATTTTATAACTAAAACCCAATAACCTATACAAATTTTTTTCTTAAAAAATAATAATTTTCTCACATTAGGCTGTTTCAAGTTCTAAAATTTTTTGTCATTGCAGGTATCTATATTTACATAGTCTTAAAATCTTTAAATATGGGCTTCGTTATATTCTGCACGGCCACAGTATATTCTGCCAGTGTCATGTACAAATGTATCTTATTCGATAAAATAAAAATAAAAAATGACGCCTACTCTATACATCTGGCAGTGTCATTTACTGTCAAAATTATACTTATACTACAACATATTCAATATTTTGTTTCTCTCACATAATTAAATTTAGTATAATTTTTAAGTATAGTTATATTTTATTTTAATTTTATTTTAACTTTAAATTAATGAATACTATTATTTGCTTATAGCAACATTGTACCGTGTTTTGCAAATATGGCGTAGGTTTCTACAAAATGCAGTGATAGATAATTTTGTATTTTACAACTCTGAAATTCAAATAAAAGACATGGACTTAGTATAGGGTTTTTTCAAGTATTACAGTGACATTGGAATTTAAATAGGAAATGTGAATTTTGCGCAATGTAGGTGTTAACTAGTACAAAATATTTTTACACAAATCAAAATAATCTTGTTCGACTGCTAATAACGGTATTATCTTCTTATTTCGCATATTAATATGTTTTTGATTGTACATAAACAGTTTTTATTAAAGTTTCTCTCTCGTTTTGTCAAGACGTTTGTAATTAATATATCGTAATTTATGTATTATTTTTGTATCTAAATATTGTTCGTTTGGAAGGTTGTTATATTTAAATTAATGTTAAATGTAAGTTTCCTAATTATTTATGTATATTGTATTGTGTAAAGACTGTTATTTCTACATCATGTCATCCGGCTCAGAAGTTATTAATCGCCGTATGAAGATGTTCGTGATCCAGGTGAGTAAAATCATTTACAAATTGAGCATTTCTAAAAAAAAATCTTATTGTCTCCTATTTTGCATCCTGTTTATAGCCAGTAAAAATGAAGAATAACTCACTAATTATCATGTATTTTTTCAAATGACACATTTCTTACTTCATGTTTTATATGCAATAACTAAATCGTTTATTTTTTATATTTAATCCAATGTCTAGAATCATTAACTTTATATAACATTCATAACTAAAGGAACAAGCACTACAAGTGTTTGTTTTTCATATTTTTAAGAATAAATAGACATAGTATGAGTAAAAAAATTGAGAAGACGATCCCATTGATTCGTCTTAGACATTTGTATTAACTCATAATCGTTTTGAACTGCTGTGTAAATAGCATAATTCTTTTCTACCTCACAAATATTATAAACAGTCATTAGAATATAGACTTGTGAATTTTCTATTTATTTCTTAAACTAAAACCAAAGTTGTAAAAAATAAAAAAAACCTTTTTATATTCAAAGGCTATTTCACAGATTATTCAACCGGTTTTATTTAAATATTTTACTTTATTTACTATTTTGATCATATTGGTATTCTTTGATTTATATTATTAAAAATTTATCTACATATGTACTACAATTAATCACACTAAGCTTAGTTTGTTACAAACTAGCAAAGTGGCCTCATATTTAAAGCATATTACTTTGAATATTGTTTTTATAAATGTTATTTTATTAGATAATAATGTTAAACATGGAAAACAATGTATCCAAGCCTTTGATATGAATAACAATTTTAGATTGTTTTAGACACAAGATAGATTTTCTTGATAGACATATATACATTCAATAGTAAAATAATTTTTGTACTCTGTACAATATTCATGACATATTCTTTTATCTTTTAACAAAATGTATTTAAAAATCAAATTTTTTACTGTGCAATAAAAACATCAATTTAAATTTGCCAAATATTTAATATTTTGCCCTTTTTAAAAAATAAACTGTTAAATTGTTTTAACAAAAAAAAGTTTTTATGTCATTGATTGCACATTTTATATAAAAGAGCAGGGGTATTTTAAAAAAATAGTTTTTGGTTTTACAAGAGATTATAAGAATGCTTAACAAGTATCCCCTATTATTAACAATATTTACGATTAAAAGTTTAAACAAAGATTACTTGATTTTTGTTTGATAGTTAAATTTTTATGTATAAACTATGGTTTCAATGCACTAATAAAAAAGCTTACAAAGTAATGTATTTATTTTAGACCATACATAGTAGTTTAAAAATATTACTTAGCTAAGAATATGCTGTTACTAAATATTGCAAATAACATGCAAATAAATGTCAATTTAGAACTTTTTCATAAAGCAATTTATTAAGAGTTGCTTCTAAATTAAAAAAAATATTTTTTCCATTGTGACACTATTTCTGTGTGTAATTGTTCGGCGATAATTATTTCTCGAACAGTGGCTGTTCGCGTGATTAAAGCGCGTTTAACCTCTGTTGTAATTTCCGCGATAAAGGTAACCCCATTCGTGCTTTAGTAGTTAGTACAACACAATATATAAAAAAATATATATTTTCTATAATTACCATAGGATAAAAGTAGGTTACTTAATACATATAATAAATTATTCCATAAAACATTAAACATTTTATAGATATCCACAACTACTAAATTCGGTATTGTTCTAAAATAAATTATTGAACTATGTCACAATGAGCTTTTATTTTATTTATCTATTCTCTATTTACATAGTTGCTTATAAATGTGTATGACATCAGTTTTGTTTTAAACATCTGTTTCAATTCTGAATTATTTTTAATCCTAAGATTGTGATTCGTTGTTATTTTTGAAACATCATAAATGCTCGGAACTCCATTAAATTAAAAAGCTATTATCTTTTTAAGCTGAAAAAGCTGAAACTTTTTTGTTTGTTAAAAGCCTTGGTTTCACTGTCGTAGCTGTAATACAATTATTAGACGATATTAAATGTTCACTTTATTAACTTTATTAAGCACGTGAATATGGCTAAGATGAGTAATATATCGTTTGTCGTAGGTGGGTGTTTAATAAATTGCATATATATTTTTGTGTTTAGCCATGTCTTTAATTCTAATAATATGTTTATTGAGTCGTAATTACGGTGACATCCCTAGTCCCAAAGCTACCGTCAAACGAGAATTCGCACGTTAGATCGTAATAACAACTTACCGTAGCTATTAATTACAATTACAAAAACGAGTGTTTTGAGAAATTTCGTTTATTTCAATGCACAACTTTTAAAAAAAAATTATTCGCTCTTGTACACTTCAGATTCTAAAAGGAAATAGAAAAAAAATTACTTCGTTTTTAAAACTGAGAAATTTATTTCACTCAAAATAGTCGTACGCAAATGAGATTTTATGTAATAAGTTTTTATCCAGACCAGTTTGAAAAAAAAAAAAATTATTTCGTGAAATGCAGATTACTGAAGAAAAGTCTCCTCTCGTGAAATAGAGAATAAATGAAACTTAACCTACTCTCGCTATTCCAAGGCTTGATTATACAACACGTATTTTTCTAAAGGTGACAGGTTATTATTATCACGTTATTTTTTAATCTTGGTTAAATATAGTTGTTATTATATTCCTATGGCATTTAAAAATTTAAAATAAACCTTTTGTTACATATGTCAGCCCTACATAGAAAGAAAGTATGTATGTATAAGCGAAGTAGAAAGGGGTTTGGTTATAGATTGT